TTTCTGCAAATTTGAGATCAGTAGGGGATCAGGGATCAGACCTGGGACAGGTTCTTTACGGCGGCGTCAGACTTCAGTTTAGCCAGGGCTTCAACGAAATCCCGAATAGAGGGGAACGCCGAGGCTTGTAGATCCTCAGGAACATTTGGATCCACAGCAGTGAAGTGGACGCCCTGTGAGTGGCATAAAGAGTTAAGAAAAAAGAAACGAGCCACTCACACAACTAGAGAGGATACTTCTTCGCCGAGGGGAAGTACTCGCCAGTACAATGGAGAGTGGAAGTAGACGATCTCGTACAGCCGTAAGCATGGCTTGAAAGCAGTCTGTAGGGCGACTGCAGCTGAAACAGAGACAAGGTGAAAGGAAATGCATAGAAAGAACGCCTACTACAGTTATTTGAGTAGGTGTTAGACCTACATATTTGTTGTTTCGCCTGACCTGCAGTCGGCATGCTGCCTCACTTACATTATCATAGCCTCCAACAGTTGAGAAGTGATCGCTGTAGACCGATCCTTGCTTTATCAACCTTGACTTCAGCTTCCACAGCTGAGGAGCGACCATAGTAGTCGGTATGCGGTTTAATCTACGCTAGCATACCCTAGGACTGTTGAGAAGAGATCGCTGTAGACCGACCCATCGTCTTACTTCTGTCATTGGATTATAAGTCCGGAAACGTCGAGGGCTGCAGAAATCTTCCTCACACTGAAACCATGTTCAGTACTCAGCCATCCTTAACAACAACGTCACCAAAAATCCCAATGGATAAAATGAAACGAAACCCTTTAGGCGGCCTGGGCACCCGAGCGGGTTGTTTAAACAGTCCATTTCAGAGACGCACTGCTTATCCCCTCACGCAGGAAAGAACCGGAAGTGATGACGTCTGCCCTTGAACGCTGAATGCGAAACCTGCCGCCGGAATAGTACTAACCCTAATCCGTTTTCGCCGACATCAGTAATTTCCTTCTATTTTCGCGAGAAAGGAAACGCGCTAGCTATAATGTGGTGGGACCAGTTTCTGTGAATAAACTAAGTGCACCAGGCGTCCGAAAAAAGTACAACAGGATGCTGCAGTCGAATAAGCAGTCACAATGTGGTTGCCACTCCCTGGTCAGAAGTTTGCTCCACCATTCGACAATGCAAAGGTCCAGTTAGGACCTGCGCTGTCCTAACGCGTTTATGTCGAAAATGAAAATGCTGATTATTTTCGATGACTTAGAAGCAAGAGTAGAAACAGAAGAACGAACTTCTACATTCAAGGACTCACAAATCTGTAGGAAGGTGTTTGTGACAAAACAACACATAGTACCGGAGCGCTGGACCGATCGACGCCCAGTTGTCTGGAAGATGAGGCTACAAGTCTAACGGAGAAGACGACTCAAGAAGGAGAGAGCATCGGGTCGTGCCTCGGGCAGAACGAACGCAAGACTGGAGTCTATGCACGTCCTTGAAGGTGGAAGTGTGGTGACGACAGAACAGACTGAGTGACACCATATGGCAAATTGACCGTCGTTACCGACGATGTCCCACAATAGGATGGACGCACAGACGGTGATTTGGGCGTGAATTGGTTTAGGCTTCCGCTGTCCTCCGGAACACCAACATGACCAGCACAGTCGCTTCTACATGTCCACAAAGTGATAACATTACGAATGGAAGAGAACATGCGCATCCCAGGTTCTTGTTTAAAAGAAGACGAAGGCACGATCACTGGGACGGTAGATTTATTGGCCTTAGCTTTCGGACTCGAGCTGGAGTTCATCATCAGAGACTGCTAGAGTGCAGCAACGTGTGAACATTTATATCGTTGTATCGTGAGCGGGGGGGGGACTACGTCCGTGGCTAGGTCTGGTTTGTGCCGCCTGGTCCACAACGGTTCCCCGGCCGGGTAACGCCGTTTGTACTTCGCGGCGACGTGGGCTGCGCCACCTGGCTGCGTGGGCGTAGTGCGTGATCGGCTGGCCGCAGGTGAGCAGTCGGGCGTAGTTTATCAAATCCCGTGCCATAACTCTCCTTACCACTACACGGGCCAAACAGGACGACGTCGCAGCTTACGAATACTTGAGCACAAACAGGCCGTTCGGAGAGGCGACCCACTATCTCAAGTAGCCACTCACACGCTGGACGAAGGCCATGAGTTCGACTTTGCCAACACGCTGATATTGGCGCGAGCCGACAACAAGACGGGGCGAGAACTGATGGAGGCGTGAGTGTCGGACACCAACTCTACCAACAGACACATTGATTTGCCTGCGTGTTATCACGCACTCCGCGCACGCAGCCAGGCAGCGCAACTCACATCGCCGCGAAGTAAAAACGACGTTACCACGCCGGGAGACCATTGTGAACCAGGTGGCACAAACCAGACCTAGCCACGGACGTAGTCCCCCCCACACGACGCAACGATATAAATGTTCACACGTTGCTGCACTCTAGCAGTCTCTGATGACGAACTCCAGTTTGAGTTCGACAGCTAAGGCCAATAAATCTACCGTCCCGGTAATCGTGCCCTCGTCTTCTTTTTTAGTGATAACATTTACCGATCATGCGCGACCCTTGCTGGACACCTACGCGATCATCAAAACCCCAAAGACACCGGTGTACGTAGGATAGTCGCCAGTAGTGTGGACCTGTCTGCACTGTGGCCGCACCTTCCAGTCACGCCTGATGAAGCTGGCCAGAGTCTGTAGCGAAAGGAAATCTAAATGTTGTTAACTTGACGGAGGAAGTAAACAAGCAGGCGACTGTTCGTTTGTTGTCAAGATTGTGGTGGCTTCCAAAAATCAAGATATACCGGCGAATAACGAAACAACCGGCACACCTCAATAGCAAACATTAAATTGTCCAAAAGCGCAAGGGTTTTCTGAGAGCGCGCCAGTATGTGCAACATGCTCGTCGTGTATTGAGAAGAAATGGCTACTCGGACAGCCTCGTCGGTTGAGGTGAAAATGCAGGTAAGTACTCACAAACATCGGAGTTTCGGAAGCCTTCAACAATCGCCTTCAGTGGCAGGAAAGAGCACGGACCCAAATCAGTCAGCGGAATGAAGGCTACATCCTAAAGACCGACTGCCACTGCATTAGTCTGAGAGTCAACCAGACAGAGTAAGATATGCGACTCAAGTAAGAACTACGAACTCTTCCAGCTATGACTGGTCAGCCGGAACCGATAAAGGCATCTAAAGACCCTTCCTAGTCAAGCAAATAAACCCTACAACTATCAAATCTTCCCATGAACGGGAATTCGAAACAGCGGCCAGGTAAACCTGACGTTTGTGAAACATAGGCTTTTTTTACAAAGAAACCTCACTCATGTTTCAGTAATCAGAAGCCGAAAACAATTGCTGAGGCGCAAAAAACGACGTACACTACCAAGGTCTGGCAGAGAAAAGGCCTCAAACAAAGAAAAGCTCGAAAAGAAAGCCGGTTTGACAGTCACATCAAACGCTACTTTTGTGGCCTGATGATCATGTCTACACCCTGAGCCAATCTACGTGTTGTTGGTTCAGTCCGTATGGTGGAAACACTCACAGTAGTGGAAAATGACTATTAAAAATCACTGATGTATTTTTATAGGTGGAACCGCAATGGTGAGGTTTGATGCCGCAAACAACAGTAGACGTTCCCATGGCAAGAGTAGATGTGATTTATCTAGGTGGGAGTGTGCAACTGTGCTCACATCGCGTGAACTAGTAATAATGCGGTGGTCGTCTACACAACAGTACGGAACAGAATTCCGTCTTCTCCCGCTGAGAGGTTCGTCTAAAGGTCAAAGACAGAGCCGCCGCAATAAATGCACGCGGTAGAAATATTAAAGCGCGGTTTCCGTTCTGTTTATGACGGTGAGCTCTAATTAATTAATTAATTAAGACAGCTGTAGGTGCAATGTTTGCTCTGCATTTAGGGCAAAAATCAATCCAGACTCGTGTAAGCATACAGACGGGTGACAGGATACTTGCGGTAGACTCGAAACTCGCAAGTGACAGTCCGAAAGTGGCATCGTACCAACCAAACCGTGTAGGGGCCGTTTGAATTTGCTCAGGATTTTTCACTTCCAACTGGATCCAGGATGGGGTTGGCGTGATCTCGTGTTGGTGCGAGTGGCCCGGTCCCGCTATCTCATGCTGGCCTTCTCTCTCTCTAGTGTTCAACAGCGTTACACTCCCCTGTCAATGCGGTAAACCGTTTAGTACTTGTATACTGCTGCTACTACTACTACTACTACTACTACTACTACTACTACTACTACTACTACTACTACTACTACTACTACTACTACCACCACCACCACCACCACCACCACCACCACTGCGACTACTATTACGAGCATTCGAGCCAGACCTAAAAGGCTTCGTTTGCGCATCAATTTCCTCCGGCGTTAAACAATGCAGCATGGAAACTGGAGTTCATAAACCAGAAAACACACGGGAAGGCTGCGAGGCCCACTGATGAGAACCCCTTGCAGCTGCGTCATGCAGCGGCACAAGATCGGAGAAACACGCGTGTCTGGTCTTTTAGCTTGCACATGTGCTGTTAGTATGGCTGTCAGTACGTAGCAGCGCAGCGCATACCTGATAGTACCACTCTTATATTGCTAGATTCTACTGACGCTATTGTGTGAGTCTATGGTCCACTCTGTGACTGAATGACTGTTATCGGTGCTTGTAAGGAGCTACTGGCGTCAAAGACCCAAATGACGCATGCATCTATCGTGCACTGTGTTAACAACGACAGAATGTATTGTCAAGCTGGGCAGGCGCCCCGCGGACATGCTGAAGGGAGTAGGTTGCGTAGGACGGTCTCAGGGCTCTGCCCTACCCAGAAAGACCGATCCAGTTAAATTTGTTGCCCCTATCCTATAGACGAATGAGGTGTGACCTGTTATGGACATTCGGCATTATCCACCAGCATGAATTTTCGCTCAAAACTGACGACTTCTTTGAATTCACGACCACGAGTCACCCGCGCGGTCACCCGTACAGTCAAGCGGGGGAGTACACGCCTAGACAATCGAAAGTTTTCCTTCAGCCAGCGTGTTGTTCGACCGTGGAACTCACTCCCATGTGAAATAGTGACATCTGATACAATGGATGTATTCAAAAGGCAGCTGGATCGTTTGATCTATGATAAACGATGACTCTCACTACAGGACTATCTGCGGCCAGCCATAAATTTCATTTCATGATTTCACCCTACTTAACACATCCCTGACTTTTAATGAAATTTTCCCTCTCAAACTATGCAAGTGACTGCGTTTTATGCTGATTGTATATAACTGCATTTAAAATTTCATAAGTACACTGAAAAGACCCC